GGAATCGTAGACTAGATAATGAACTTCAATTGAAAATTGGGGGAGCTAATATAGGACGAGTATATGAAATTAAATCTCTAGGTGTCACAGTTGATGACAAATTCTCCTGGAAATCGCATATCAGATATGTTCAGAATAAAATAGCAAAAGATATATCGATATTGGCACGGGTGAAATATATTTTGGACAGGAAAGCACTACGCATTTTGTATTCTTCATTGATTTTACCATTGGGAAATACATACAAAAGCTCACTTCAACCATTGTATATATTACAAAAAAGAGCGATAAGAATTGTGCATAAGATGGGATATAGGGATCACACCAATGTAGCTTTCATACAGTCTAAATTGTTTAAATTTTTTGATTTAGTGGGATATAAGACTGCTGTGTTTTTGTATAAAGCCAGGAACAATTTATTACCTGGTGGAATTCAAAAACTATTTAATGAAAGGGAAGGGGGATACAATTTAAGGGGTCAGTTAAATTTAAAAATTCATGCTATACGTACAACCAAAAAAAGATTTTGTATTTCTATAAGTGGGGTAAAACTATGGAATAATTTGTGTGGACATAAAAAATAGTAATAGAATTGATGAGTTTAAACATAAATATAAAGGTATGTGTCAATCAAGATATATGCAAGAACAGGCTTAATGATTAATTAGATGGAACATTGTGGGTGTGGTGTATGAATGTTAACACTATGTAATAATTCTTTAGTATATTACTTGTGTGGTGTAGAAGATAATTATTTAAGATTGTAATTATGTAAGAATGTTAACACTTATAATTGTTTAGTATATTCTTGTGTGGTGTAGAACAAAATTATCTATGTAGAAATACTGCTTGCAAACCAATGATGGTAAGATGATGTCATGGGGTAGGACTGGATAAGTCTGACTTCTTACTACTCCATTCAAGCATGTACTAGGTATAAGCACATTGATATTGGATTATGTGTAAAATTATGTGTGTTGTCATATCAACTGTCTTTACATGCTTGAAAGAATAAATCAAATCAAATCAAATCTACAGGATAATGTCAGGGTGGCTCTCCACAAGTTGAAGCTCATAACAAACTGAGTGATGCAGCAGCAAATTACTCAAAACATTGTGGTAAATATATTACAGAATGGCCTCAGAGACACAAAATCCACCTTATGGAGTGGCCCAGTCAGAGCCCAGACCTCAACCCAATAGAGATGTGGTGGAATGCCCTCAAGAGAACTATTCACACTGGATGTGCTAAGAATATGACTGAGCTGAAGTAGTTTTGTGAGGAAGAATGGTCCAGATTTCATCCTGAAAGTTGTGCAGATCTAATCCACAGCTACAGGAAGAGCTTGCTTGAGGTTATTGCTACCAAAGATGATTCAAGCAGTTATTAAAACACTGCTGTCATTACTTTTTCCACCATCACTTTGTATGTTTAAAGGGGAAGGGTGTTCAATAAAGACATGGAAGATCATGACTGTTTGTGTTTTGTCAGCCTAGAAATATTGTGTTTGTTGATGTTTGTCACTTTGATGAAGATCAGATCATGTTTCATGACCACTTTATGCTGAAAACCTTAAAACTGCAAACAGTGCCATTACTTTTTCTTGTGACTATATTCAAGAGAAAACACTGAACAAATGTTGTATTATCTACAAACCAAAAAAAAAAAGAAAAGAAAGAGGTAGTCCAGGGACAGCAAAGTAAATAGGGGCCACTGATGGTTTCTTAGTTAGAAAAGACATCCAAGGTCAGTTAGTGCCTCCTCTGTCACTGGCAGCCAGTAGCAGGACACTGAGGCACAAAGGCCCTTTTATCTTGTTTTTTTTGTTTGTTTGTTTTGTTTTGTTTTGCTCATTCTGATACTGTATTGTAGCCTGTCTAGAACTCAGTGTTGGATTAGTGAATCAAAAAAGGAGCAAGCAAAGATACACAGAGAGGTAGATTTGTAAATATCTGACTACCTATACAGACCACAAAAGATAATTACAGTATATTTATTAAGCTTCAATTCTCCAATGCTCTTATACAGGATTTAGCCACATACACTTTTATATTTGTAGTAGGAAAAAGTACCCAGATTAGACAAAAATAACAATTTGTTCCCAGGCCAGATCGGATATTGTTTCAGCAAACATGTTTTCAATCTAACAAGGGGTCTCTTTTCATGTTCCATACTTCAAATGGTTTTTTGTAACATGAAGACCCTGAGAAGTGTACTGATGCAACTAATCAGATGCAGCTAATTTACAGTAAATACAATTTCTCATCCAAACAAAAGTATAGTCACTACTGTTAAGGTTTTATCACCACAGCCTCATGTTACCTTAAAGGAGAAGGCCGGACATTTTTTATATTAATAGTATTGTTTGACAATCCCCATACACACTGAAAAAAAGGAAACACTAGGTCTTTGGATTTACACAAATTATGCTAGTATATGCAACGCAATTCATTCATAGTTCCTCTGTTAACATAAAGAAAATTATGTTGGTTTTACACATTATCATGTGTGGGACCGATGTACACATTACAATCAAGTAAATCCAACAAATCGTTTTTTTTCAGTGCAGAGCCAAAACAAAAATGAATTGCCTCTGCTCACAGTTAATCTCTGTTAGGGATGGGACAGTATATCAAAATTCAAGATATATTGCAATACAAAAACATCACAAAATGCAATGATATATATTGTGTGGGTTCCATACACTGGGAACTTTATATTTTTCATAAATAAGATTTTTTTTTTTTTTACATATTCAAATTAGTGCTAGAAAAGGGGAAAAACAGGAAAAAAGTACAAGTATTCCTCAGCTAGTCATACATTGTTGTCAGTTTTTAATTGTATTGTGATTGAATCGAATCATACACACCATATTGTGCATCAAATTATATTAAGAAAACGTCATATCATCCTATGTCTGTCAGTCTCCAACCTGGATTAGATTATTCATCTGTGCCATATTCCTTCTTTCTTGTTCAGAAATGACCAAATTCAGTGAAACACACTGCTGCACTGGGTAAAATCTTTTCATTATGAAACACCGACCCATATATTTGTATGTTTTTAAAGTGTTTGAAGTAAGATAGAGTCACCTGCACATGCACAAGATCTTTGTAAAAATGCATGGTGCTAGTGGACTGTAAACAATGCAGAGAGCTCACACCATCAAAAGGTTTTAAAAAATGTCTGCTGGCTACCAATTGAATAGTTGAAAAGGTGGAGAAACATTGTTGCATGGCAGAAGACTGGAAAACTCAAGAGAGATAGGAAGAATGAGAAGAGTCAGGAAGTGACTGAATATGAGAAGATTAAATGTTCCTCAGTCATTAATTAGATATCATAAGAAAGCATCCACCAGCACTACAAAGGTATTTCTTCACTTTTGTGTTTGTGGCACATCAGCATCAATGTTCTAGTGAGCCAGGAAAAAAGGAAATGATGGAAAAAGAGTAAAAGAAAAAGATGAGAGACCAGAGAGAAAAGAATGGGGCCAGAAAGTGGAGAGAGTGACGGAAACCCAGGCAGTGTTCCAATGAGGATGATAAAGCTCTTTATGTGTATGACAAGTTCAGTGATTGACAAATCTTTCAGATGCTGTGATCAGTGGTGTCAAAAGCAGCACTGAGATTTAAGAGGACAAGTACGGAGACAAGTCCTTTGTCCGAGGCTAGGAGAAGATCATTGGTGACTTTCACCAATGTGGTTTCTGTACTATGATGGACTCTAAATCCTGACTGAAAATCCTCAAACAAATCATTCTTGTGCAGGTGGTCACATAACTGCTTTGCAACAGCTTTTTCAAGAATTTTGGAAATAAATGGGAGATTGGATATTGGTCTATAATTAGTTAGGACACCTGGGTCAAGAGTAGGCTTTTTGAGTAGAGGTTTAATTACTGCAACCTTAAAAGCCTGTGGAACATAACCTGTTAATAGAGAGAGGTTAATCAGATCTAGTATGGATGTGTTGATTAGGGGAAAGACCAAGAATTTAAAGTGTTGAATGAATTTCTGAGATGACCCCAAGGGCTCTCTTTTCCTGCCAGTGCAGTTTCTGGGAAGCTTCAAATACAGTTATTATGCACTTTACTTCAGGCGCATGTCTATTTTTTTATTTTTTTGTGCATTGCTGTCTTTGGTATTTTCCTGCCGTGAAAGAATGCACTTGCAATAAGGTGAGAGGAGAGGTGTAGCTTAGAGTGTTTAGACTGATTAGGCAGTGCAGTGCAGTTGTGGTGCTCTGATATTTCAAAATGGCACTACACATGGCAGCCTCAGTTGTATGCCCAAATCTGCTTTTGCCAATTTTGTCTTTTTTGTCGGTTTTCTGCAACCCATCTCGGAGTACTTTTTTAGCAGAGACAAGCTCTTGAACATCCGACAGCTCAGTCTGAATGCTTTTTCTCCCATTTTTACGGACAGGAAAAGCTGTTTTGACATTCAGTCGGCAGAGCAGCAGCCATCTTTGGGACCTGGAGAAGCTGACACTGTAAGGGGAATCATACAGGCGCCATGGTTAAGTTACATCAGCAGCGTTATCAAATGCAGCTCCCAGCTATGAAAATCATTGTAAACACTGACTTGAGGCTCTCTGCTCACCTGTGTGTGTGTGTGTGTGTGTGTGTGAGAGAGAGAGAGAGAGAGAGAGAGAGAGATACAGAAATGGAAAATGCCATGGAATTATGGTGCTGACAAGGTTATTACTGGTAGGGAAAAAAAAACATTTTTATTCTTCCTGTTGTGGCATTTTGGTGAATTCTAATCAAGGGACCACTGTTCTTGAATCTTTAGATTTAATAGTAAGGCTGTACTGTGCGTGTCACCAAATTTGGGAAGGAGGCCTTTATGTCTTATCAGCTATGACACAGCATCATTGTTCATGTGCTTGCTTGTTTATCTGGAGGATTAATAAGTATTTCCTCCAGGAGGCAGATTAGGGCATAATTATCCCTGGCACAAAACAGAAAATCTTCCTTTCAACTTCATTTTTACACAACATAAACAGAATCTATGACAAAATTAAAGGATGTTACATTTTTTCTAATGTTGAGATCACAGCAGACAGTGACAACATTATAGACAGTATAGTAGCTAGGCTATGGGTTTATCCCATTTACTTTACTTTATTGCTCTTCAATCCTCACTCAATCTGGAAGTCCTTCCGGTTCACCATCTTGAAGGACAAGACCATTTTTGGATCAAGGGGCAAGGAGGCTGCTGGAGGAGCTGCGAGGGAGGATACAAGAGAGCATCCTTCACGCAAGTCTTTTATGTACTGATTTGGATGCTTCAGATGAAGGATTGGACAAAAGGAAGTGTCTGTCTGTATAAATTTGTGTCCTCGATTCATCTCTCCTCACATTTTTTCCTTGCATTTTCTCCCCACATCTTTATGTGGGCAGGACTAAGAGAGAACAGACGCAAGTGGCTGCAATTACGGAAAATGAAATTTTCTCTTCAAGGTATTCCAACAATAAGTTCTGCCAAGGAAGGCAGCATATGCAAAGTAGCCATGATGAGCATGCAAGTACAGTCAGGGAAAAAATTATTTGAACCCCAGCTGATTTTGTAAGTTTGCCCACTAACAAAGAAATTATCAGTCTACAATTTCAATGGTAGGTTTATTTGAACAGTGAGAGACACAACAATAACAAAAAAAATCCAGAAAAATGCATTACAAAAAAAGTTATACATTAATTTGCATTTTCATGAATGAAATAAGTATTTGATCCCTTTGCAAAACCTTTGTTAAATTGAGATTAAAATTACATTAACCTTACAATGTAATTTTTATTTTTCTCAAAATACACCCATGACCCTGTTTGGGACTAAGCGGTATGGAAAATGGATGGATGGATACACAGTATTTACTAGCACAAGTTAATTCCAGTATTTAGATCTTGTTTATTCATGATTTTTCAGTCTGGACTATCGATATAAAAAGATTTTAAAATTAGAGGTAGATGCTACTGATGATAGTAGCTTGACAATAGTGTAAAAAAAAAACATTTGAAATACTGTGGAATACCTTTTATATATGTTTTGCTTTAGTTATATGGGGAGTTTGTATGTTCTCCCTGCGCTTGTATGGGTTTTCTCCAGGTACTTCGGTTTCCTCCCACAGTCCAAAGACAATCAGCCTAGGTTTATTGGCGACTCTAAATTGCCCCTAGGAGTGAGTGTGCGTGGTTGTTTGTCTACATGTCAGCCCTGTGATAGACTAGCTACCTGTCCAGGGTGTACCCCACCTCTCGCCCAATGTCAGCTTGAATAGGCTCCAGCCCCCATGTGACCCTATTCAGGAGTAATTGGTATACATAATGGATGGATGGATGGATGGATAGTTATATGGGCGGTTTATGGTGTTTATATGGCGGTTTATATCTTGCCATCAAAACAGCATGTGTAAAGTAAATCTGCTCTTTAAAATGTTTCCATTTGCTGAGTGGACTTCATTCTAAATAAAAGGTTTTACTAGGCTGACAGAAATCCCTTATCTTGCTCAGTACTTCCTATTTTGAATACAACTGCAGGTATTTTCTAGTTTACTGCTGAAGGCTCTCTGTGAGGTGGTGGCCCCATTTTCAGTCAAAACAAGACATGTTTTGGACAGCACTAAATACACCAGGTGCCAAAAGATCAATAGATTTCATAGTTACCAAAGTGCACAAGGCACAGTGAGCACATCACCAAGCAGCTATTGAGCACCTTTGCACACTGTATGCTGCAATAGATTCCAAGACCCCTGAACACATTACTATCATTTACCCTAAACAGGATATGCAAACAGAGAAAAGAAATGGATGAAAGAAGTACAGGACTCACGCTTCTCTCTTTCATTTTCTTTTTGCTCATTATTTTGTGTACATATTACACTTTTTGTCCCACAAGTAAATAATCTTTAGATTGTCTTTTCAGAATAAATAACATTCCACCTCCCACACACTTTTGCTTACTGCTTTGATAGAATGGAGTATCGATCTAGGTTTCTTCCTCCCACCTGTCCCCTCTGCCTGCTCTCTCACGCTTCTCAGTGTCAGCAGTACCGAGAGAGCACGGCGGTCCTGGAGAACCAGCCAGCGGGGACGTTCGTTCTACAGGCTCATGCTGTGGATGCTGACGAGGGCTCCAATGGCAGGGTCACTTACGGCTTCATGCACAAAGACTCCACTGTGCCGGCATTCAGTATACACCCAGACACTGGTACTGAGACACACACACACACACACACACACACACACACACAGACTTTCCCTTGTAGAAACATACACATTGAGAAGACCACACATTCTTTTATCCCAGGAGGCATTCTTAAGCAGACTTTATTGCTATCAGCATGTCTTGACGCAGTGCAACAAGGCATGTCTACAAGTTTGCAAGTTTACATTTTATAGATAAAATATTGAAGATTCTTTTTTTAATACCTGACAGAATTAAATTTACACAAATTGTTATTATGCAGATAAAATAAAGGATGGTTTGAAACATATTTCAAACTTACATAAATAAAAAAGCTAAATCTATTAGGAAAAACAATCAATAAGCCCATAGAACTGCAATAGATGTCTTTGCAAGTTGACATGAAACAAATTTGCATGGTAATATCAAAGGTTTACATATAATGCAAAAAAAAGCTAAACAACACACCCTTTCACTTCAGTTGCACCAATTTTTATAAATGTCATCACTAAATTATTTCTAAAGTAAAAGTAAATAATTGGGTAATTGCATTAGATGATAGTTATTTTATGAAAAACTCTCATTTTCTTCCTTATTCTGCTCCTCATCTGCGCTGTTGCCTTTGAAGTTTAGTTTCAAGGCAAACAGAGGAAGTAATTTCAGTGTAAAAGTTGCAAAAGCTCCAGAGACCTGAATCCAGGTATTGTTTGGCATGACATAACTGTCTGATCAGCTTTATTATCTCTGTGTCTCTAGGAGTAATTGTGACAGCCAGGAAATTTGACCGTGAACGCCAGCGGGAGTATGCAGTGACAGTGACTGCCACTGACCAGGCAGCTGACCCACTGATTGGCATTTGTCAGCTCAACATCTTCATCCTGGACCAGAATGACAACAGTCCCAAGTTTGAGAATCTCCGTTATGAGTGTAAGTTGACATCAGTATAAATTAAACATTAACTACGAGTGACTGAGATACAGTATCAGTGCATTGCATTAAGCTTGTTTGCCACTGTGCTGATGAATACAGCATAAAAGACGACAAAATAAAATGTCACAGAACCACTGAGGGATTATGTGCACTTCTTCATCTCCCACAGACTTCCTTCGTGAGGATACCATGATTGGAACTAGTTTCTTGCGAGTGGCAGCTCATGATGATGACTTTGGCACCAATGCAGCCATCACGTACTCCATGTCCAGTGAACAGCCGGAGTACCTCAGGGTCAACCCCCTGACAGGCTGGGTGTTTGTCAACCAGCCTATCTCTCAGGTAAATGCATAATGTATATAAACAGATGATACCAAACCACAGTTCCAGTTTGCTACTGTATTTAAAAAAGCTTATGTTATACGGTGTGCTATGAACATGGTAGAAAAACACTCAAAAGAAATTATCAAATTTCACAGTTCCTCTCAAGAACTCTTGAGAAACTAGCAATAAACCTCACATATCAACTAGCATTCAAGTACTTTTTTGATGACAGTGAGGGGGCAGAAGTCCAGTGGCCAGTAGCAGACAGGCAACTTGAATATCCAAAGATAATGTCGTCACTGGAGCCCATTCCTTTGCATCAGGAGAAATAACATTGCTGATATTTTCCTCACTTCTCTGTCTCTAACCCCTTGCTTCACTATGAGCAAAACAAAAAACATGCAATACTGGAAATTGCTATGTAGTGTGCACAAAACGAATCTGTATTTCAGATGAGTGCCATGATGATAAAAGCCCCAAAACAACTCACCATATTCCAGTGCATCCTGAGCACCTTGCATCTTACTCTAACATCTGGCACCTTGCCAGTACTTTGCCTGAGAGAATGCTTCACTAGAACATTTGTATATGTTCTAGTGAAGTGTTTGAACATACAAAACTTTTCCACTAATGAGGACAACCATATAAACTATTATACACCTGCAATCACTGCCTACACATTTATTTCAAGCTTTGCCAGTGTGACAGTCTCAGTTCTTTTAATTGCTAGGAGCAGAGAATGAATTATAAAACTACATGAACAATTTTTTTTTTTTTTAAAGTGAATATGTGTCATCATTGTTTGTTTTTGTTCTTTTGCACTTGCCATTTAACCCACATTAAATGTATACACTCTTGGTTAAATCCTTGTTTGTACTTATTTGAGAGACGTTCTCCCCTGACTGCCATGGCTGTCAGAACTCTGTACACTGCAGGTTATGCCCCTCAGTCAATACAATTATCTTAAATTACTGCATGATTGTTTTTACCGAACTGTAGCCTGTAGTCAATTTTACCCTGCACATAAGTTTTTAAAATGTATTCCTTGATGGAACCTGTGTGATCTAGATTCACAGGTTTTATCAGCATGTCTCTAATTGGCAGCTTAAGTACACACCATCAAATGATGTTTTCTCCTCTTCTTTTCTCTACTTTGTATGGACTTTCTGTTACAGAGGACCTACATCACCAGGGAAATCGTGGCTACAGACGGGGGCAACAGGAACAGTTCAGTGGAGCTGGCCGTCACCATCACCAATGTGAAGAACCAGCCTCCACAGTGGGAGAAAGACAGCTACAGTGTGGTCATACCAGAAAACACTGTCCGAGACACACCCATTGTGGTACATTCGGGTGGGGGTGTGGTACCTTACACGCATAGAAAGCAGATGCACAAGCATATACTTTGTGGGCGAATTTCTAACACAAAACATATCTTTACATTTGTAAAAGTACAGTCAAGGCATGGTTATTTACTGTCTGTACTATGGTACTTTAAACCAAAGGAATACTGGTGGCCTAGATGGATGAGAGGGACAGGCTTGTGACCAAAAAGTTGATTATTAGACCCCAGACTACCAGGTTCAGTCTGGGCAGAGAAAGTGACAAACTGAACCCCAATTGCTAAAGAGAGCTTGGCTGTCTATGGACATTCTTTGAATAAATCAAGGTTAAAAAAAGCGGCAGTACAAAGTGCTTAACACCAGGCAAAGAAATGCACTTGAGTAATATTTAAAACTATAAAAACAAAATGTATTTTAATAGAATAAAATTTGATGAAAAAATAAAATAAAAACAAAGACAGAGAAAATAGACCAGAAATACAGTTATAGTGCTGCAATAACTTTTAAATTCAATAAAATATATAAATGTGCAGTAATCAGAGGTGCTTGGCAAACAGCAGGCATCCATACTCATACAGTATGCTGTGTATGGTTATGCACATGTGCACATTCACAAGGATATAGACTGTACTGCAATGTGTATTTACTAATTAACTTGACACAAAGTGCAGTAATCACTCAAAAAAAAGATCTTAAATCAATATTCCAAACATCTAAAGTGCATTAAACCCTTGTGCTCTGTTCGGCCCTGTCAGACCCAGATTCACTTTTCACCTTAAGCACCATGTGATGATGCTTTGATACTGCATTGTTACATTTAGAAAGAGTCCCTATAAATTTGTCCTCTATCCTGAATTAAAGCACAAGAATTGGTATTCAACCACTGGCTGCATCCAGAAAGGTCAAGTGCAGCTCTGCTCAAAATGTAGCAAATTTGACAATGGTGCAGGACAATTGCAACATACCACATACACATTATAATGGAGGAGGTATTTTTCTCCCTGCAGTGACATGAATATTAAATAGGAAAAACTGGCAACAGATAAGTTTGCCAAAAATCAACTGTCTTCTTCTTAACAGAATATTGCAAACTGAAGAAAACCTTTTTTGCATTTATTCAAAATAGAGATGTAGCAATAACACTTTTTTCAGTCAGACTGAGTACCAGTATAAGTATTTAATAAGAATAATGTAAAGTATCTACTATAAATAATACAATTACCATAAACATGCAGTAGCTTTACAGACAGTTTTGCTTTCTGATTGTGATTCAATAAAATATACCAAGAGGTTGTGCACATTGCCTTAAAACTGTGCGTGATAACAAACACAGCACCGCTACATTCCTGTTGGATATAATGTGTAACTGACTGCATTTCTGTGGCCTACTACTCAACATACTGTAATACAGTAGTTTTATAACCGTTTGTAGGCGTGTGACCTTCTGTTAAGCTGAAATGATTTCACAACCCCGCCCAGAACATCCAAGTTTAAGAGCACATGACATCACAGTTGGAAATTTAAATGTTTAATTAGTGTCTGTGGCGTCATCCTGTTCTCTCTGCTGCAGAGAAGCTGCTTGGTGTCAGCCTCCAACAATTCAACTCATTTTCACACACACATATTCAACCGTTAACTACATCAAATTAGCATTTGTTTTTTTTTCTGCACACGGTTAGTAGAATGAGCACCGTGCGGGTTTAGTGGGTGGACAGGACCGGGCAGTTTCACCACGGGGAGTGTGAAGATGTCACATTTCTGCAAGTTTGTTGTCGTGTTCTTCTTGTTCAACAGGTGTTTGATTAATTACCCTCTCCATTGCTGCTGGATTTGGTTGCAGATATAGAGCATTGATCTCAGTAAAATGCAGCCTTATGTCTGTGTGAGATGGGTAGGGAGAGGCGCACAGGCACACATACACAGCCGAGCAGAGCCAGAGCTTGCAGTCGGCTTTACTTTTGCCATCACCACTTAACTTCCTTGGAACTGCTGAAATTTCTTCTCCACCGTCTAACAGCCTAACTAGTATTAAGTTGACAATGTTGCCGTTAAATGGTATTTACAAAAAACACTGCAAGTACTAGAGGGAAGTATCAAAGCCTATACCTGATACTGATATTGGTGCATCCCTAATTCAACTCATGTCCTGGTAAAACACATATTATGGTACTGCAAAATGCACAACTTAGTTCTGACCAGAGATGTTTGTTGCATGTTATCCCTGCTCTCAGTGAATCGCAGAGGAGCTACAGGTTTAAAAGCCACAGCTATAGAAAAAGACTAATGTTCGAAAACACTCTTAATTTCCTTGATAACATTCCATTATTTGTGCAGTTCTTATGTATCCAATCAACTGCATGTGATTATACACAGGCATTGCATTTCATGTTACTACCACATTTTCAGCTAATCAACAGTATTTTATAAGGATCTCTTGAAAGCAATTAAGTCCATTAAAGTTGCTGATGAATACTTTAAGCCAAAAGATGGAAATGAAAAGACAGAAGAGAGTACTTTACATGAAAATGTGTGTGTCTGTGTCTGTGTTTAGCTGTTTTTGTGAGTGAGGCTGATAAAGTGAAGGAGAGGAAGAGAGAACATGGTCCCTGCAGTAAAGTGTATTAATTGAGATGGCAGTTCACTGTTGATTTGACTGTTGCTGCAAAGATGAAATGAGTCTCAGTAGGTTGTAATAGCTCTACTATGGAAATGTGAAGATTTTATGGCCTAAATCAGCACTTACAGCAGTCAGACATGTTTGCCAGTTCTGTATGCCTTATAGGGTGTCTCATTATTGTAAATGCTATGCACTATAGGTTGAAAGGATACAGCTAGGTCACCCATAGCAAGCCGCATCACATCCGAGATGTCACTTTTGATCTTAATTGGGCTGTATGTGGCATCTGCTTTGAGTAGCCTCTCCTTAATTAGTTTAGGGAGAATGCATAATGGACATCAGAGTGTTTCCTTTTGTTCCCACAGGATTTAGCAGGTTGTTGTCTAGTCCAACAGTTTGAGACCCACTGCCCTAACATTTTAGTGTTTATTATTATGAGCTATAAAACACGTTTTCAGATTTGGCAGACCATCTTTCACTCTTTATAATGTTAATTTCCATTGAACTCAATAGCAGCTGTCCTCGTTTTCGTTCTTGTCCTGACTATTAATGCTGCCATCCAGAATTTTTCCAGCTCTCAAAAATGATAATTGGAAACAAAATTTCTAAAATGCAAATTACTGTCAGTTTTTTATATTTTGCTCTGCTTTGTATTGCACTCACTTGCACCACAGAGTAAATATGGGTAACTACTGTAAATATATTCCAAAAGTGAGAAAATTACAACCACAGTACATGTGGAGTCTAATAAATATTCCATGTGTAAACCTGTATACATGGCCACAGGGCAAACCTATATTTTAGGTCTAAATGTTTGTTCAGGTATTGGTTTTCACTGAGAGCCGTATTGTCAGTATTAGCATTAAAATTTAATGGTGATATGGGCTACAAAAAGTGAGATATTCTATTATACTGAACCGTTATCTTCACCATTATCCCATACCCTCGTCTCCGTTTCAAACAGACCATCAAAGCTACCTCCCCTCTTGGGGATCCCAGGGTGACTTACAACTTGGAGGATGGCATGGTCCCAGAAACCAACATGCCAGTTCGCTTCTACTTAACCCCCAACAGAGAGGACGGTTCGGCCTCCATCCTGGTAGCAGAGCCCCTGGACTATGAGACCACCAGAAACTTCATGCTGCGGGTTCGAGCTCAGAATGTCGCTGCTGTACCACTGGCGGCCTTCACCACGGTTTATGTCAATGTCACAGGTGGGCTTTTCTTTATTGTCCTTTGTGTATGGATCTTCAAAGGTAACCATTGAAAAAAAAAATTGTCTTACATTTTTGTATCGTACTTTATGGGCCTTGTAACACCATTGTCTTCCTGTGGTGTAGCTTTGGTTTTAATTAAATACATTGTTATGACAAACCAAAATTACAGTTAATTGAAAAAATTACAAAAATGTCCCATTGTGTCCTATTATGTCAAACGAAAGATAATGGAGCTTTGTGTAATGAAACTCACTGCAGCACACTGACCAGCAGAATGACTGTTTAGAAGCTAAGGGACAAATTGGGTGTTTGATGATTCATGTTCCAATGGCTGAGCTAAAGGGTAATGGAAGAAGAGAATGGATTTTACTTGATTAATTTGCAAGATGGGCTTAATGGTCTGTATAATGCATAAATAACAAAAAGCACAAACTTGCACACAGTCTAGAGCAGCATCAAGCCCCATGTTTATTCAAAAACAGACACTGAACCTGCCTTAGGATGCACTTAAGGTCTAGCAGCTCATATATTACAAGACTTCAAACACAGATCACTTTACTGCTACACATATTATCTGTTGCCAGCATTATTACCAAACGTGTTTAATTCACTGTGGTATAAATGTTATTGTCTATGTGCTTATTATTGTTTATTCTTATCCTCATTGTTCGACATGGACAGTGTCACTGTATTAGCTCCTAAACTTCTTGTACAACACAGCAGATGCTCCACAATTGAGGCCATGGAGAGAGAAAGAGAATAATGAGCATTTGGGAAGAATAGAAGGCTCAGTTATACTGTGGTGCTCTCCAAGTCTGGTTGCCTTCTAATTTTTCATTGGAGTCATTTAAAGCTTGGATTCCAAAGCTACACAAATCCAAATTATGTGCAGAGCTCACCAGCTGTTGTGAGTGTGATGAGCCCAAAAATGCAACATGCTGTATATGCTTAATCTCACTGCCCCACCCCTTCTGTACAGACAAGGGACTCTGAGTCTAGTTGCTCCACTGAATTCTTCATTCTTCTTCAGCAAAGAATAACATTTTCACCTCTTTGCCCTTCTTTGCAATGTCTATTATTATTTTATGGTGTTCTTAGATATGATTACTTTAGTTTGGTGGCACTGTTTCAGTTAATGCTCAGCCCCTGGTAACTAGAGTTAAGTCACCATCATATGGAGATGTTTGCTGGCCCCTGATCTTGCTCTTCTAAAGATCTCTGCCTACCCACCATGCCCCAGACTCCCCTGCATTTAATCCCTTTGCAATATGCACACACACACACACACCAACACACACACACACACACACACACACACCGACAGACATCAT